GAGTCTTCCTCACCCTTACCTAAGATCTTTCAGATGCCGAGCGTATGCTTTGATACTGAATTGTGGCTTAAGGAAAGGTGTAGTGATTTCAGCTAGGACCGTGGTTAAAGGCTCCATGCCTGGCAAGCATAAGCTAAACCAGATAGGCCAGGACAGAGAAACAAACCCACCAGATTGAAGACAAGCCACAGAGGTTTATTACATTTCAGCCAAAATGAATGCTAGTATAAGCAGTTTGCTTCCAAAGGTACAAGCATAAACATACAGAGAAAAGCAAGATATCTTGTATAGTTCTGATAGCTATTCAGACTTCATGCTCCCTCTCCTCATTGGCTGAGAAAGAGGCTGGTCAGGATCTTCACAAGGATTGATTGGGGATTCCCTTGATATCATAGCGTACAAGCAGGGATTCCCATGGTGGGAAGAATGGCAACCAGGAATTGTTCTATGCAAGGAGTCAATCAGCTGCAGAGATGCCTCCTGGGAGGGTGCAGGCCAAGAGGAAAAATGGAACATACATGCTGTGTTTTGATAAACTAAAACATCCAGATCCATGTGAAAGAAAAGTGCGGAGCTGAAAATACAAAGACTCTTAGACAATAAAGGACTTGACTATCAGTATAGAAAGTTAATTAATGCAGATCTACTGAGCTCTCTCTTCTGAGGGAGTGGCAGACTCTCAGCTTCAGGTTAAGTGGACAAATATTCTGAGCTTTTCTTGTTGGTAAAGAACATCATCTATCTATACATACACACAATGCTTCTGATACAGTAGTTATCTGGCTTGGGAAATAGTTGGAGGAATTTGGCTAATGTCATCCTATCCAAGAGATTATGCAAACGGGGCATGAAGAGGTGGCTGCCTTCAAGTTACACTTTGATACATATAAGAAACAGTTTATACACTTCATATACGAAATTGATACAGTACACAGAAATCATCAGATAGGCACATTTTATTAAAGGGTTCAGCATTGATAGAGTTTGTAGGGTATAGCTGCTGCTAGGTCTGCTCCTGTTCCCCTCAAGCTTCTGAATTTTGCAACTTCGGACCTTTAAAGAAGGTTTTTAAAAAAATAATAAAAAATTGCTTGTAGTCCCTTGATGAACTATAAATCTTTCTTTGGGGGGGGGGGGCTGCAGTTACTGTGGCTTGATAACAAAGGGACCTTATAGCTTACACTGATAAATTTAACTATATGTGTGGACCTTTGGAGGAGAAGGAACTATTGTAGGTTAGAGGTTAAAAGCTTAAATCTTAGATCCATGCTAAAGAAAAAGGCCTTTGAAGTATTAGTGACAGAGAAGAATATTTTAAAAAAAGGTGGGCCAGGGCTCCAGGATTCGGTATGACTGACTCTAATATTTTCTTTGTGTGGCGCAGGGCTGTGAAACAGATCAAACTGATGGCTGGAACTGTGGCCTGTGAAGTTATGATGCAGGAAGACAACTCAGTGAGCATCAAGTGTACAAAGTTCATTAACAAAGGTTTTATTAACTTCTCAGAGCAACTCCTGCTATAGATACAAAACAAGCAGTTTCAACAGAAGCATCAACTAAAATAGGTTCAAAAAGGACAGCATATTTCAGGCTTTTGCATTTCCAGTTGGGAACAATGTGGAAGGTTATAACAGCAGAGCTTAAAATATCGCATGATATGTGGCACAATTCAACTCAAATTCAAGGTTTTCCCAACCATCTCCTCTGCAGGAAGAGGAATCTTCCTTGAGACATTGTGACATAGCAGTGTTTAGTGTGTCAAGTTAGGACTGGGGAGAACCTGATTCAAATTCCTGATAGCTACCAAGCTGTTTGGATGACGTTTGGACAGTTGGTATCTTCCACTTTAACCTACCTTACAAAGTATTGATAGGGGAAGAATTTGCATGGCACATTGAACTAATTTGAAGAATAACTCACTTGAAGAAGAACTAATTTGAAGAAGAAAAAAGTAAATAAAGATGTAAATCTTTATTTACTTTTTGGTTCACTTCTAGGCACTGAGTTGTCAAGAGTCTTGGGGGTTTGCAGTGGAACAGAGAAGGAGAGGGGTTACCAGCTCATTGTAAGGGCTACTTCTGGGCATAATCATCACCAAAGCAAGGTTATATTGCCAAAGGTTGCTCACTTCCCTAAGTTTTAGTGCCAGTCAAGGCTAGCCATTACTGTGAGATATGGAACAGATTATCCCACAGGTAATTCTTTCCACCACTAACAATAAATCAATCATTCAGATAACTATTGTGGTAGAGCAAGGCAATTTTTGTGGTAGAGCAAGGCAGCCGCTTCAGGTGGCAGATGCTGGGAGGTAAAGTGGAACATTGTGACTTAAAATTGTTTCTTTCATGGATTTCCCTGGCCATTCCCAATTTTGAAGGCTATTGGTGTGCCTGTCCAGTACCCATCAAAGGAGGTTTGTTGCCCTCAGGTGCTGGTGTAAAATGTAAGGTTCAACTTCCAACTTCTGCTCATGAAATGGTGGTGGGATGACCTTTTAGTTGTTTCAAGCAACGAAATACTGTGGGTGGATCCTCTAGTCAGAGTCTTCTATGTTTGGGATTATTGATATGTCTGTGTGTAAAGATATAGTTTGCTCCCTCATCATTACACTGTTCTGTTCACCCAGCTACTTCTGAACCCCCTCCAAGAGGGCAGTGGTTTTCTGAGCTTGATTCAGCTGCCAATCAGACAGTCTGTAGCAGGCAGCACAGCAGTTTGAAAGCATTGATTCCCAGGAGAGTGGTAGCAATGCCAGTGTGATGGGAAGCATCAGGAAACACTTAGTGTGCTCAGATTTCAGCAGCTGCTGGCCTCCTGAATGGAAATTTTACTGTCTCTGACTGCCAAATCCCCTCATGTTTTCCCAGAGAGTTACAGAAAGTGCACTGCATACTCCCATTAGTGTTCCCCACCCTTTCCCACTCCGATCAGCTCTTTTAAAGGGAGATTGTGCCAGCAATCTCCCAGCCTAATAGCAGCAGAAGAGAATGATACACAATTATGGAATCACTTTTTGAGAAAAGACAAAAGACTGCATTAAGGCATCATGTGGCAAATTGAGCACATAAATCAAGTCAATTGTCAAATCCCTCTTTACCCTGGAAGTCTGGAATGTAAAGCATTTATACAGTTGAGGCTGTAATCCAAAGATGTGTGGTCTGAGGGCTGCATGTAGCCTCCAAAGTGCTTTTGTACCCCTGAGACCCCAAAGTGGCCAGAAACCCAATTTTGGGACATGGGAGGGGGGATAAAGGATGATAAACCTCAGTCCTTAGATCAGCAATTTGCAGTTCAACCCCAAACAAGCCTCCAATATTCAAGAATAACCGAAATACAAACCAAAATATACTGTCTGTACCTTTCCAGTGACAGTTGGCTGACCTGACGTCCCTAATGCACTTGTTCAGCCCACAATGTCTGGGCGGGAGAACTGGCCACAAGCTCTGTTGTTTGGGATCATCTTTCACAGTGCTAGGAAATCACATATTTTGTTCTACAAGTGCAAGTGGGAACACATAAGAAATGCATTTTGGAAGGAAGATAAAGAGTATGTGAAGCAGCACTGAAAGAATGCACTTTGGTATAATCCAGAAGGCAGAATGTTATCCAAAAGGCAGCTACAGGAAAATCTAGCAACATTACGGCTTCTTTAAGGAATAATATCTCTGGCTTGTACTTTTGATTTGTTCTAAATAAATATCCTAATGCTTCATCACCAGGGCTGTACAAACAGCACAGTTCAATAGCCTTTGAAATGATTTCTGAGATAATCCCCAGTGACAATGTGAGTGCGACCTCTGCACAGATCTCTCACCACTCCTGCCTACTGTCCAGTGCCCAAGTCATTCAAATTTCCTTTATGCTTGCCAAGTCCAAAGCACTTCTGTCTACCTCTAACTTTCTATTTTTTCTCTCTGTGTCTCTTTCTTTCCTCTTTCTCGGTGTACAGTGGCGTCTTCAAGGATCAAGTAGCTCTACTAGATTTTGGATTGTAATGAGGAATGGTTCTCATGGGATTGCAAGACTTTGGCCATATTATTTCAATCTGACCACAAAGAATGAGGAGAAGGCATTCAAATTGATGAAGAAAGCCATTCTAAACATCTGCACATCTCAACCCTTCCAGATGTTCATGGAAAGTTGATTTCACAGTCATGATTTTCTAAATCTGGAATAAGTGATTAAATTTCACAGATTCTTGTTTGTTTCTTAGCAACGGTAGTTGTCCTTGAACCTCTTTTGGATCAATGGAGGTTTGTGTTGCATCATTGCTGGAAACTATCACCAAAATCCTAGATTAGTTAAGTATAATTACTTAAGTAGTGTATCCTGGCCGAATCCTGCCTTACTGGCCATCAGCTGCAGCAAGCAACAGAGGTTTGTTTTCTTGTCAATTTGGATGCAGTACAATGATGTTTCCACAACCTTCATGTCAGCAATCTCGGTGCAACAATCAGAAGTGAGGCCCCTATCATGATGGGATGATGAATACACATGTTATGAATCTGTAACTCATGACCAGCATTAGACTAGGTGGAGAAAGCGTATTTTGTACACAGATCCACTTTCCTTATCAAACAACCAGCCATTTCTGCTGCAAGTGTAACTGCCAGACCCTTCTTTTATAATGTTTAACCATTATTGTCTCTTCTTTTGAGAGCATTTCCCTCTGATTTGAGAATCCAGGGTTTGACAAGTATGCCTATACTCCCTGGGAAACATCAGACATTCTCCTGTGGAAAATCTGAGACATTTTCATGATAGATAATTTTGCTCTCATAAAACTGTCAGCTTGCAGAATGGCTTCCTTTCATGAAGAAAAACAAAATGAAACAAAAAGTATTCAATAAAATTGTCTTGGAAACTTAGCACCATTTCTGCGATCAATTTTTTGTTCAATGTAATGTCAAAGGCTTTCATGGCTAGAATCACTGGGTTGTTGAAGGATTTTTTGGGCTGTATGGCCATGTTCTAGAAGCATTCTCTCCTGACATTTTGCCTGCATCTATGGCAAGCATCCTCAGAGGTTGTGACTTCACAGCCCAAAAAACCTACAACAACCCAATTTTTGTTTGTTTTTGTTCATTTGTTTTTAAAACCTGATGCCATTTCATAAAAGAAATACCTCACTGCTTTCTCGGAGAAGCAATCTCTATTAGTCACACTGGGGGCAATATTGGTTATAGGCACAGGTTTCCACTATCCAAACCTTGAATAGTAATAAAAATGTAAGTATCCTTCAAAGAAAATTCTGTGTGACAAGATACCAGTTAGTTGAATGATTGGTGTGGCATCTGTTTTGCCAGTTTTATTACCTGTGCCGCTAATATGGGATAGTCTTGTGGAGAATGTGTAGATTATTTACTGAACTAATACAAACCACTCAGTAGTTCCTCTGCCTAGCGGTGGATTAATCCCTTATACACAGAGCGAAGAGTAGGGGATTAGGGGTAACATCCTTTCAGATTTGTAGATTGATAGAATTGACACTAGGCCTTGTCCTAATCACGCACAGTCCTCTTCCTCCTTGCAGCCAAATCTGCCTTCAGCGGTTAAGAAAGAAAGACTTAATGCTCTGAAGAATGTGGTACTTCTGCTTCTGTCTCAGCTTCTTGCGGATGATAGGGATCCAGACGAGCCCACAGACGAGCAACATGAGCCCCAGGGACAGGAAGGCTGGTCCGCACAGTTTAAATATCTCTTTGGTTGGGTTTTTGGTTGTTGTGTTGGCTGCCATGGTTGTGTTTTTGTCCATAGTGAGGCAGGTTAGGCTGGTGATAGCCACGCCGAAGAGGAAGACTGCTCCACCCACCGACAAGACAATGACTGGCTTATGGTAAACATCCCATTTGTTCAGTGGTGGAGCGCTCCATCCAGACTCACTGCGTGAGCTGATGCACAAGGTACTGGCTGTCCGACTGGTCAGCAGGTCCTTGGATTCGGGGGACTTTTCTCCTTCCTCTTGGTTTTCTCTTGGTTGGATTTCCATGACTACCAGCTTTAGAGTCACATTAAAATTTCTAAGTGGGGAAGAAGAGAAGAATTAAAGTTAGTTTCTGTACAATTGATGCTTATGACTAGTAGTGACTCATTTTTTCAGTTACATCTCAGGTATAGGTCAAAAGACCCATTGGACTTTGGCATCCCTCAATCTGTTTTCTTTTTGACCTTACCTTTTAGGGTGAACATTAATATATGTCCGGGGTGAGAACTGTGTAATCCTTACAATGTTATTGAACTGAAATCCCCAGAATCCCTCACCCTTGGCCAGGCTTGGTAGCACCTCGGGAGATACAGTTCAACAACATCTGGAGGGCCACATGATTTGTGGCCCTGATTTTGTTGTGTGCCTCCAAACCGATTCTGACTGATGGTGAACATAAAGCAAATTGTCTCAGAGTTTTCTTGACATGATTTGATTTCCTCTGAAGTTGAGATAGTGAAATTTGTCCAAGATCACCCACTGTGTTTCCATAACCCAGTGGGGATTCAATCTCTGGCCACAGACACTGAGGGAAATGCTCTGCTCCAGGTTTTTAGTCTGAGTTTTAAAGCAACTATCAGAGATGTTGAACCCTAATCTCAAATAGCTTCAGCATCTGATGCACCATCTACACAGCCAGATAAAATCCAGATTGTCTGCTTTGAACTGGATTATATATAAGTCTACATATAATTTGGTTCAAAGCAGATAATCTGGATTTTATCTGGTAGTGTAGACAGGGCCTGAGCAGCTACCTTAAAGGTTCAGAGCCAATTTGCTCACCTGCTTCAAAGTAGGAGTCACCAGCTATCATCAATGCATTCCCTTCAGAAATCTTGGAGGAGTAAAACAACAACAATCAAACATCAGCACTTTGAATAGCTCTTATTCATTTTCCTTAGATAGACAAGTTGTGCATGGATAGACAACTTCCCTCACCGATCTGCACCCACTGCCAAATATAGACTATTCTAACACTTTCCTTCATGCCTGCCACTTCATCCTGAGTTTTCACTGTTATCTTTCTCCCAGCCCCCATCTTCACTGCCATAATATCCAGATTATCTGCTTTAAACTAGATTATATGATAGTGTAGACTAATATAATCCAGTTGAAAGCAGATAATCTGGATTATCTGATTAGATAATCTCCATTATATTGCAGTGTTGCAGGGGCCTCAGTTGGTGGATCCCAACCTTGATCTGGAATAGAAAGAAACAGATCTGGCTGTATCACCCAGGATGGAGTTCTGGAATAGTTCCTGGTAAATTTTTATCCTGCAATCCCTCCTGGTTTAGTCACATAATTTTATTCAGTATCTGGGGCTGCTGTCATTGCTCTCTATTTGTAATTGCTTTGTATTTTCCTTTTGCTTGTTCTGTATCTTACCCTCAGAAAATGTCACAAGAAGGGAAAAAAGACAGTAAAGATTTTTTTCATGCGACATGGACAGGAATGTGTACAGTTGATTCAGAGTGGGAGCAGCTGTTCCTGGAAAAGGTGGAGGACGTGTTAGGGATGCCCCCTCTCTTTCCCTTTCTAGAGCCATTTCAGGTCCTTTAGAGTACACGAAACTTTCCTGAAACTTCTCTGATCTCACAAAGCAGGGAGAGGTCACACTGAACCCAGGAATAGTAGCTTTTGAATAAACATATGTAGGCTCTGGTTGTAAAGCTACAAAATTCTTATAGGCAGTGCTAGATTTACCATTGTGCTTAGGTGTGCTTCAGATATCAGGGGGGATAAAAGCAGACTGAGGATATCATCAAGACCTCCTGAAGTCTTCTACTCTTCTTTTGAAAACTGATTTTTAAATAAGTCTAGAGATATTGCCCCACAGTAACCAGTGAAAGGTAATGCTCTAATCCACTTGCACTCTGCTGTGACGGTAATTTTATGTTTTTTTAAAATCAAAATAAACACAAATATTCAAAACCAGTTTTTGGATGGAGGGGAATTGTATCTCTCTCTCTCTCTCTTCTCCCTCTCCCTCTCCCTCTCTTTCCTCTCTCTCTCTTTCTCTGGTGTCACAAGGTAAGCCTCGGAAGCTCTAAGGTTGGGCTTGATCTTATGGGCAATGTTGTGATTGTGGAACTGCACTGCCTGAAGGCATCTTGTTAACAAGCCTGATGCCTCATTTTCTTGCCAGCTACAATCCCATGGTTGAAGAGGTATGTCTTTTCCTCCATGAGTATTTGTGTGGGTGCACATAAAACCATTGCATGCCTCAACAGAGCCTAAAACACTGGGGAATACACCACCTTTCAGAACTGCAACTGGAGTTTCACAGTCTATATCAGGGGTCCTCAAATGTTTTAAACAGTGGGCCGGTTCATGCTCCCTCAGACTGTTGGAGAGCTGGACTATAGTTTGAAAAAAAAATGAACAAATTCCTATGCACACTGCTCATATCTCATTTGTAGTACTACACACACACACACACACACACACACACACACACACACACACAAGGACAATACAAGATTTAAAGCAAAGAACAATGTGAACCAACATAATTTTTTTCAGTATTTCAGTGGAAAGTGTGGGCCTGTTTTTGGCTGATGAAATAGTCAAGTTAATTAGGGTTGTTGTTGTTGTTGTTGTTGTTGTTGTGTGCCTTCAGGTAATTTCAGACTTAGGATGACTCTAAGTCTAAAGTTTAGGGCAGAGGCTGGGTACATGACTTTAGAGGGCCGCATCTAGCCCACAGACGTTAGCTTGAGGACTCCTGTTCTAAATGATTATTTGCAAAGCTTCCAGCTGTGCAAAGGCTGTGGGAAACTGGAGGAGGTGGTGGAAGGCACATCCTGCAAATCCTGAAGCAGAGAAGGCTAGAAACTGAGGTAATGCTTTGGTCCCTTGCTTCCTGGCACAGTTCAGATTACCTGGAGAAAAGTGATGCCTTCCTCTTCCAACAGACAGTTCCACATGTGTTCTGATCTTGCCAGAAAGCCTTTCTGGTGTTTTTTTTTTTAAGCTCTGTCCTCCTTCAAAGTTTTCCAGCAGTGTTAGCTCCTTAGTTGCCTTTGACAATGCCTAATCTTTCCAACCATCATTCCAATTAGTACTGCTAATTGGACACAGTAGATAGTGTGGTTAATTCAGGATCATCTCAGACCCTGGGGTTTTCTGGCCAAAATTTGAAATCTAGGGACAGATCCTGGTGAGGTCATTAAGCCTTATACCTTAAATACCTATCATAGTTGCTCATATGTATGCACCATAATTTCCTGTTTTGAATTTAAGACAGAAGTCATAGCCAAGGGGCTGGTTGCAGAGGCAAATAAAAGAAGAGGATTGTCAGTTCCAACCTAGCAGTACGCATGAGGAAAACGTTCAATTTAGATTCCTTGCTTCTAGAAAGAAGGTGGATATTGAATGGAGAGTCAGCCCCATCACTATGATGAGGAAAGTTGGAGGAAGCTAAGTACACAGATCACCTACAGAATCTTTGCAAGTTGCAGCAACAAATCAAGACTTGCAAATTGGAGCAAGCTGCTGGTATACTTGTTGGGTTTGAGACTTGCTCACAACTCTTTCCTCTCCTTCTGGATTGGGCCATCACAACTGGAGAATTTGCATTTTTGTCTCATATTGATGAGGCATGCTGGCAGTTACAATCTAGTAGTATCAGGAAGGCCACATGACCACCTAGCACAGGTGAAGAAAGAAACATCATAGGCTGGATCTACACTGCCCTATATCCTAGGATCTGATCCAAGCTTATCTGCTTATCCCAGATTATCTGGCAGTGTAGACTCATATAATCCAAAGCAGATAATCTGGGATCAGATCCTGGGATATAGGGCAGTGTAGATACAGCCTTAGTTCAAAGGGAAGAGGTCTTAGACTACACAAAGGCTATCAGGACTGAAAGCTACCCAGGATCCTGAAAAGCCCTGACGTGGTTATCTATCAATTTTGATTTCAAAACTGTATCAAGGTTTTTTAAACTACAAGTTATTTCTTTCACAAATATGAAGACATTTGTACATTTTGCTCAGATTTTTTAAAAAAGATCTGAAATCAAATTCTCTTCCATTTGCAGATAGTTCTGAACATGCTCAGCATGGAGAGGGCCAAGTTGTACCTGTTTTCCTGGAAGACATGGGACTTCTCAGAACAAAGGAGGCAACGATTCTCATACAGCTCTAACATGGTTGGCTACCAAAGGGATTCACTTCCAAACTTTCAAAGATTACATATTCAAAGCTCTGAATGGACAAATCTATCAGTTTCAGCTTTTTTTATGATAATTTTTATAATTTTGGGTTCCACCCTGATTATAAATAGAAATGATTATTAATACATTCTTCTCTAGAACAAACTGAAATTAAAACTGTACTTCTTCTGCATGACGCAGAGATTCTCCTGTCAGTTGGGAAACTCGCAAAGGGGTGTGTACTAAAGCTGGATATTGATATTCCAGGGAATCTTAACTGCCCATTACAATAAGAGCAGATATATGTATCCATCTCAAGTTCTTTAACTCAGACTGCAAACTGTTCTCAATATATTCTGAAATTTCACTGATGGAAGCAGAGGCTGGTCAGGACTACCCCCAACTCATCAGCCCCAACCTAGCAGTTGATGGTGACCTGAAAAGCTTGTCCATAAAGATCCAGTTTGGGTGCTCATGAGCACTGTTTTGACACACCCAGCCTCTGCAATTCAGACAGGCAGAGTGTGCATTGGCCTTGGTCCCCAAAGTTCAGGGATGGAGATAGGGTGGTCTGATGTCTACAGGTGGACCCCCTTTTGCAGCCATCAGACACTCCCAGTTCTTTAGATCTTCCCTCATATTAAGAGAAATTAGGTGGGAAATCACCTCTGAATTGCCCAAAACCCATTAAAACAATCCACACACATTTCACAACAGAGCCTCATGTGCCACAAAAGTAGACTGTACTGGATATACAGGGCATTAATCTGAATTGACTGGTAGGTCTCCTGGGTGATTTGCATTAGACTGTCAATGATTTCTGGTTTCTGTTTGTTTAATAAGCACAGCAACAAAAGGATGCCTTCCACGCCCTAAATGATACTGCCAGAGACAACCAGGCACGGGCTTTTGTGTGGAAGGACTGAGAGCTCAGTACAGTTCTGGTGTTCAAAATAAATGCCTGGGATCCAGATTCCGCAATTCAAGGTATTTGTCTTTTCAAGTGGGCTTTCCCATCAATAAATATTTTATGGGCTATTGTGGGCTTTCCCATCAATAAATGATTTAAAAATTCAGTTTAAAATCTCTAAAGTCTTGAGAGTTCCAGTTTAATTTTTTCCTTTAAAATTTTGTATATTCAGATTATATGTAGCCAGACCGATTCTTTTTTGTACTTGTATTAGTCTCTTTCTTCCCTCATATTCAGATTCCACTACATCATATACTTTTGGCAGGGATTTTGTTTTTATTGTTTTTTGTGTACAGAATACTACCAACAGCTGAAATCCTAGATCTCTAGAAGTATTGTAATTATTATCATTCCTAGATTCTGCTTATAATCATTAGTGGACTGTGAAACAAGAGTGATAATAGTAATAACAAAAAATGACAATGAGAACAACACATAATTCTAGCTTGACTGACAAACCATCGGAATGAAATTGTCATATATAGATAGGCTCACAATAGCACAACTGCAAAAAGTGACTTTGATAATGTTGCCACATTCTCTGATGACACCACCCTGGTTTTTTTAGATTCTAGAATACAACCCAAATCGCAAAGGGTTCAAGATTCCAGTTGGTAACTCCCGGTAAACTGCAAAACCCATAATGATAACAATGGTGATAATTTCATGGTTTTAATTTTTTTTAAAACAACAAAGACCACCAGCCTGAAGCTTGCTCCTCATCTTAGCAGTCACAACACTGCTTTTGTTGTTGTTACTAACTAGTCTGCCAAATCTTCTTTCGGGGAGCAAGTGCCACATGAGAAAACATCTCCATGTTTCCCTGGAAAACTTCCCATGCTCTTTGTTGTTATAACTCAGCCCTGATATGTGGGATAGCCCTAGCATTGGCACTCAATTTTGCTCTAGGTGGGGCTTGGGATCCATCCTGCAGATCACATCCATGCAAGGGATTCAAGGACTTTATTTCCATATGGGTTTTCTCAGCACTGAGCACTGATGCTCAGCTTCATCCAGACAATGGATGTTATGCCAACTTCAAAGTACAATGAGTAGCTCTGAGCAAAATAAGGTGAAATCAGCTAAGATCTATTTCAATGTGGTGAGGATGACGGAAAGCACCCCGAATTCCTTGAAGGTTCACAATATGAGCTTAGAGGAAGGGGTCTGTTAGGATCCCCCAGTTCTTGCTACCCATAATACCATGACCCCCCCGCCCCCCTCCAGCCCCAGATACAACAGCCAGCATTTCTACTCACACGATGCCCAGAGGCTCCTTGCAGTTGGCTCACTGCTCTGTACAGGCATGGAATGTGTCCTAAGTGGATGTTGCTGATTTCCTAAGTAGCTTTCCTGCCAGCCTCAGCTATCCCTCTCTGATATTATCTGTGCTGAGTGGCTCATAAACCAAGGAGCCTGTTCCAGCTCAGATGAGCTCACTCGCTTAGGCAGCCGCCAATGGATTGCATTAACCCTTCCCTGGCAAGGCTGTCAGTTGTTTTCATTCAGCAAAGCAAACTATGTTGGGGGCCTGCACTGCAGAGGTGGTGCTAGAGCTACCTTGGACAAGCTACCTTTCTGTCAATTCAGGGTTCTGAATTGACAGAACCCTGGCAGCCCAGGGTTCTGTCAATTCAGGAGCATGGAAATTGAGCATGAATGTTTGTGTTCTTTGAAAGCAACTTTCACCAAATGCTTACCTTCCATGCTAATAAAATGTTTCTGCTTTCACACTGATAGTATTCCAAAATTAAAACAGGAAAAGTACTCTGGTCCTGGAAGGCATTCTAAGAAGCTGTTTTTGCTGGGTTTTGTGTTTCCACAACTTTCATTCGGAACCCCGAGGAGAGTGTGGGTGAGCTCCCTCTGTCAGCTCCAGCTCCCCATGTGGGGACACGAGAGAAGCCTCCCATAAGGATGATAAAGCAGCAAAACATCTGGGCACCCCCTGGGTGACATCCTTGCAGACAGCCAATCCTCTCACATCAGAAACGACTTGCAGTTTCACAAGTCACTCCTGACATGAAAAAAAAATCAGAAACAATTCTGCAGGAGTCAGGAACTGCATAACATTCGGACCTTGTCTTTAGATTTTCTCCCTCTTCCTCTCCTTTCCTCCCAATTTCCTTTCTCTTATCTGTCAAGTGTTAGATCTTAAGGTCTAAGATTCAGATTATCAATTGATAAGTGAGCAATTCTAAAAGTCTTTGCAGCCTTTCAGGGGTATGAGCATAAAGCATCCTCTATCAAGAATTCTGAAATCTGAAATATTGCAAAATCGGAAACCTCCTATATGGGTTGTTGAGATAGTGACACTTCTTCTCTTCAGTGGTCCAGTGTATACAAAATGATTTTCATGTTCAGGTTTGGATCCCATCTGTATGATATGCATATTATGTATATGTAAATGCATATTATGTATATACAAATACAGGCATTGCAAAATTTTTAAGAAATCCAAAATCCAAAACATTTCTGGTCCCAAACATTTTAGATAAGGAATACTCAGCTAACTAAAATAACATAGTTATGGTTTAGCATAGCTATGATACAGCAGAACATTGTCAGAGCAGAACCAAGCAATTATGCCCATTCCTTATGAAACCTCAATTTTACTGCCTAGGACTATCTTGCTATGTTACATATGGAACATATATTTTGACTATTTCTGATAGTTTCTTTGTTTTTCTCCCCTCCCCTTTTGGGATATACATAGAAAGATTATGAGAAACCAGATATCAAATGAAAAGGGGAATGTGAATGTACCTGAATAGATAGCAATACCACAATCAACTCAATGAACCCTTTGAAACTTTTCATTAAACTGTTTGAATTATTATTATTATTATTATTATTATTATTATTATTATTATTTCTTCTTGTAACCCAAGGTGGGTTACAAAATAGAATATGAAATATGTAAATGGCCCACATTCAGTCCTTCATGTGAAGACCTAAGTGACCCAAGCTTATGTTCAGGACAGGTCTACACACTGTAATTCCTGGGAATACACATGTTATCCATTAGATGTCCATGACACATGCAGATTCCTTCTATTTCCCAAAAAATCTGAATTATCGGGAAATAAGATATGATGTACAGAGATAAAAAGGTATAAACAAAGCACAAAAAAGATTAATATGCTTAATTATCTCCTGCCTTTAGAATCTGTTACTGGAAAAGCCTGTAACAAATGTAATTTTGTTTCCTTTTTGTTTCCCACTGTGCAATGAATGTGTTTTTCATAATTTGACCCGTTGCATTGGTGTTCTGGACTATTAGGTGCTGTATCAAGCAAACACATCTTGCGATCAAGAGAGGAGAACATGATATGCTCCTTTAAGTAATGTGTTGTTTTATCCAACCATTTTTATGGGCAGCCATTTACCTGAAATTTAAGCTTATTGCTTCTCATGTTAGGGCAAAATTAGACCTGATGTCAGAAATACCTAATAGTGCATCTTCTCTTTGTTTCTTTCTAAAAGCATCTATGGAGAGCAGCTTTTCCACATATCCTTGAGGAGGAAACCTTTAGCTTCTTTGAGTCTTCACCAGGAGAGATAAAGCAGGGTAATAATAATAATAATAATAATAATAATAATAATAATAATCAACCTGAAACTGGATGATGGGAATTGTAGACCAAAACATCTAGAGCATCAAAGAATCACATCTTTTGTTGTTGTTATTGTTGTTGTTGTTGTTGTTGTTGTTGTGTGCCTTCTAATTGTTTTCAATTTATGGTACCTTGAATGAAACTTGTCATGGGATTATCTAGAGAAAGGTTGCCTTTGCCTTTTTCTGAGGCTGTGAGAGTGAAATTTGCTCAAGATCACTGAGCAGGGATTTGAATCCTGCTTTCCAGGATCATTGTCAAATGCTCAAACCACCTGCCCTTCTATTTACACACCTGAAATTACTATGAGAGGAAAGCAGGGATCAAAGGTAACAGCATTATGCAATAAATGATATTTCAACTTCTATTTAATGTTCTAGTTAGCTTCAGGGTATTTCCTTAATCCTCACATATAACAACAATTCACAAAGGGCAGTTCCAGTCATACATTAAACCCACTTCGGGTTTTCCCGTGGGTTGTCCCCATTGCAGTGCAGTAACTATTGTGCTGGAATGGGGCAACCCCAACGCCCACCCCCAATGCTTTAAAACTAAAGAAAACCTTACTGGGCCATCATCAGGCCTCTCTGGAGCTCCCTGGAATGTACCAATGACACATGAGGAGGTGGGTGGGGGGTAAGGAGGAGTGATTCTCCTCCCCCCCCCCACTTCCTGGTGCATAATTGGTATGTTTCAGGAAGCTCCAGAGAGGCCTAATTGCGGCTTGGTAAGGTTTTCTTTATTTTTAATGTGCCTGGGACGGGGTGGGATGGAGGTGGCGCCATCTCGCATCTTTGGGTTCCAGAAGCCCCAAAAGTGTAAGATGTGTCTGTGGACTGACCCCTGGTTAGTCACGAGACTACCCATGGGTCAGTCCCCACAGGGCCCATAGCCTATTAGAACTGGGCCTTTCAGAAAGCCCAGGATCTAGTGGGCTATCTAAGGGCCCATCCAGACAGGACCCATAACGTGAGAGCTTCCGCAGTTGTACTGGAGGTGCCCAAATGACATTGCCGGTAACTGAATTAATGCAAGATAAAGCAGGAAAACCCTGCTTTGTTCCAAATTAATTTGATACTCCATTAGACCTGGGTCTTCCTGAAAACCCCGGGTCTAATGGAGTATGGACCCTGTGGGGACTGACCCCCGGGTAGTCCTGGGGCTACTGAGGGGTCAGTCTGCACAGTCCAATTTGCTTCTGCATGCTTCCTGGAACGTACCAATGTAGCACTGGAGGTGGGGAGAATCACCCCACCCCACCCCCACCTTGCTTCCTGGTGCAACACTGGTACATGCTAGGAAGCATGCAGAAAGGCCTAATGGTGGCATGTTAAGTTTTTCTGTTATTTTAAAAGTTTTAGAGAGGGATTTGGGTTGTTACTGCACTACAATGGAGACAACGGACAGGAAAACCCACTTCTTTTGGGCGCCTATACAGATAGCAACACAGGAGAAAATGGGTTTTCCTTTTTTGTCTCAAATTAATTTGCTTTTCCTGAAAGCATCATTTGGACGCCTCTGGAAAAAGCGCGAGAGTTCGTGCATTTTCAGCCCTGTTTTGATTAGGCCCAAAAAAGTCCTGCTGCAGGAGCATTACAGAAAAAAAACCCTCTATCGTGTTAATCTGCTGATAAAGTTAAAAAGAACTCAACAATTGACAGAGGATAATCTCTTAGGGTCCTTTCACACAGCCCTATATCAGAATATCAAAGCAGAAAATCCCACATTATATGAGTGTGGATTCAGATAACCCAGTTTAAAGCACATATTGCAGATATTGTGGGATTTTCTGCCTTGATTTTCTGGGATATAGGGCTGTGTGGAAAGGCTCTGGGGAATCAGGATGGGAGAACCTATTTCTTTTTTTTTCTATCTCTCTGTACCCTCTCACCTCCCCCCCCCCCCCCCCCCCCCCCCCCAAATGATGTGAGGGAATAAGGAAAGGATGACTTTTACAAGACCTCAGATAATAGGTGGTTTAGGGTACATAATTTAACAGCACATTGTATACAATCTAGGAGGAATTTGGAACTGAATGGGAGACAGAAGACATAGGAGACAGTGGACATTTGGCTGCCTTCCCTAATACAACATACCGCAAATTATTCTGGTGACATTCACTCCTCTCTTTTTTAATTTTGCTTTATACAAACTTAATTCATCCTCTCTAAGCAACAAAGAATGTTGAGGTTCAGAATCCTACTTGTTTCTGTAGCAGAGGAAGGGAACATGTGGCTTTCCAGATGTCATTAGCTCCTTCAGCACCAGCTATCATGACCATTTGTCAGGGATGATGGATGCTGTAGTCTAATAAAGGCTGGAGACTCATGTGCCACCGTTTCTTATTGTGGGAGTAGAGGGAGAAAGAGAGAGATCAACAGCTCTAGTGGTGTTCAGCTTACAAAGAAGTCTGGCAGGTATGGACAAGAATGTTAGAAGAGACGGGATCACTGGCTGCACTCTGCTCTCTCTCCATCTCCCTCCCTTCTCTGAATTTCAAATAGGTGACTTGGAACTGGAGGATTATAACAAGATGCTTGCGTACATCTCCACCTGAAGCTTCCCCTCCCAGCTAAACAAAGCCAGTTCCTTCAAGATTTCTTTTGTGTTTTTTTGACCTATAGGTAAAGATACAAATGCTTATATATTGATGGAAAATGACTTTTTGGGGTATTTCCTTTATTTTTTAACCATGTTTCTCCTGCTACTCTCAGTGGATGCTAGTTTTTCTAGCTTTACATCATTTCTAATATCAGAGAGGTGATTTG